ACATCCACACTTACTCGGGGATAGAGACATTCACACTTACTCGAGGATAGATACATCCACACTTACTCGGGGATAGAGACATTCACACTTACTCGAGGATAGATACATCCACACTTACTCGGGGATAGAGACATTCACACTTACTCGACGATAAAGACATCCACACTTACTCGAGGATAGAGACATTCACACTTACTCGACGATAAAGACATCCACTTTAACTCGAGGATAGAGACATCCACTTTAACTCGAATATAGAGACACCCACACTAACTCGTGGATAGAGACATCCACTTTAACTCGAAGATAAAGACATCCACACTTACTCGAGGATAGAGACATCCACTTTAACTCGAGGATAGAGACATCCACACTTACTCGACGATAAAGACACCCACTTTAACTCGAAGATGACATCCACACTTACGCGAGGATAGAGACATTCACACTTACTCGACGATAAAGACACCCACTTTAACTCGAATATAGAGACGCCCGCACTAACTCGTGGATAGAGCCATCCACTTTAACTCGAGGGTAGAGACATCCACATTTACTCGAGGATAGAGTAACGCTAACTCGAGGACAAAGACATTAACACTAACTCGAGGATAGAGACATCCACACTTACTCGAGGATAGAGACAATCACGCTTACTCGAGGATAGAGACACCCACACTAACTCGAGGATAGAGACATCCACATTAACTCGAGGATAGAGACATCCACATTAACTCGACGATACCTGACCTATTTTAATTATATTACTTAATGCACTTATCATGGCACATATTGTGTCTCAAATATTCACATTAACTCGAGGCTAGAGACATCCACACTTACTCGAGGATAGAGACATCCACATTAACTCGACGATACCTGACCTATTTTAATTATATTACTTAATGAACTTATCATGGCACATATTGTGTCTCAAATATAATTTCTGAAGGCTGGTTTTAAGAGTAATGCATCAGAAATGTCGACCGTTGTAGTATAATTGTTCAGAGACCCATATTAAGACATGTTAATGCTCCTGTGAAATCCGTTATAATTTATCACTCGATACAGTAATTATGCATTGTAAATTCTTCTGAATAAATTTGTTTCAAAAGTGCATAACAACACAAAATGTATGCAAATTACCCTGTGATCACATGACCCAAATATATCTTTACACGTTTTGTTTTTTCCGAGGAAGGTGTAATTAATTTTGATTGATTATACAGGTAGAAATGACTAATTGATATGTATAATTGTTGTGTGTCCGAACTACCGTGTGGTCACCTGTAGTACTCCATATCAATCAGTGAGGCCGGTAAACACCCCGTGGACTATCAATATTTCAGTAGTTGTGGTTTTGCCTGATGATTTATTACTTAAGTTGATTTCCTGTGGTCTGGCTCACCTGATAAGGAATTGATTTGTTTGAGATCAAGCGAAATATTAGATCGTAAAAATCAGTTGTAAAATAGCATTATACTAATTTCATTTATTTATAGTACAATTCATGCTAAATCAATTGTAAAGTAAAAACAGTTCTTAGGGTTGTGTTCAAATTCGTCATACCTCCACATTCCGTTAGAGGTAACGGAATCGGCCGAGTTTTACCGATTGTTATCGGTGATGGTTGGTGAGTATCAATGCGATACGGTTCAGTAATCGCTTGTCTTTATGTTAACACTTCGGAATCTTCTAACAAATGTGCATACAAAGATTTCCTGACAGCAGAACACGGTCTTAAATGTCTCTTAAAAGCCATCCCATTACAGTTTCTAACGTTCTACGGTAGATGTTCGTGTTTTCGGAGCGCAGATATATATAATAGAGGGATACATTATTACAGCTTATATACATAAAAGCTAGATTGGTATTGATCGTGGCCGTTGGATTTAAAGAAAAATAACGACATAATACAAAGGTGTTATTAACAAGAGCCTACAGCATCTTCAGAAAGATCATGTGTACACATACGAAGCGTGTTAGCCCGTCGCCATTTTGAGACATCTACCATGGTACGAGCTCACTACAGCGAAGTATCATCTTTCGTTCATATTTTTTTTTTAGGATAACCAAGCAGTCTGAATCGCGAAACGATTTAACCCATTCACCCACCACTTAAGTCATATTTGAACCTTACCAAATCAAAGACTGTCTATTTTAAACTGTAGGGGTGAATGAATTAAATTGAATTAAATGAAATTTTAACAACAGATTCGTCCCGCCGAGTTGTAACATTGCTGGTTTGCGAACATTTACCGTAGCTGTTATTGTCTGCCCCGTTTCCACGCCCGATAGAACACTGCGGCACTCCTCCACTATACAAGCACACAGGTATGTCCTACACACAGGTAATATACCTCTATAGTATACATCTATAGTATACCTACCGGCTTACTGTTACCAGTATACGTAAGCGTGGTAGGACGTCTCGTACACCTCGACTGACGGATGTGTAGTGTAAGTCTAACGAGGATATGTATACGTACCTAATAGGTGAGTTAATTAATTACAGCCTTGACTATTGATATAATTACAGCCCTTGTTATTTATAGTTCATGTGTGACTTTTTAAAACCGTTTATTTCTTTCACTTTTAAAAAGTCTTAGTTACAGTAAGCCTTATTCAATAGTGCACCTGTACTGCCAATAACATAGAGCTTATACAGTACTGAACTCCATGGTGTGCTGCTAACACGAACATCCACGGTTAGGTCATTTTACATCAATGAAGGTGTAACTATATTTCAGTACTCCTTCAGATGGCCAGGTTCGCGATAGAAAGGTAAAGTTACAAGGAAATGTGAATGTTACATTGTATGATGATGTGTCCACATATCCACGTGATTATAACGGTGTAGTGTATTGTTCTGTCCACATGTCCGTACAACAATAATTGTGTCCACGTGTCAATACAATATTACAATGTATTGTGCGTTAATTGTTTTCCTAGTTCCTTGTTTAAGCTTCCCCTTCTCCCCCAGACACCGGCCATACTTATATAACAGTGCCCGTCTCTTAGATTGAAGTACATGTATGTCCCTATGTGCTTTTATAATGGAACACTGAAATAGCCAGGCTATACCTGTGTTATTGCAAAAACGCTTGTCGAAAATGTTTTCCCTTTACATCATTTGCATAAATATTCAAATATTCAAATTTACAATTCAAATTCAATTAATTCAGCACATACTTTTTTTTATTGAATTATTGAAATGCCAAATGTTGACACGGAAGCGTTAGGAAGTTCATGTCGTACAGGGCAGTACAATACTACTGTTCAATGTCCCAGGATATGTGTATTGTAACTGACAACGCAATAATGATATAAACTATACGACTGTACAGTTTCGTGTTGACAATTACAGAAGAAAGTCCAAGTAACAATTCCGGTGTGTGCCGCGAGATATATTGTACAACAAACTAGATCGCTAAGATCACGTGGTGTTGACAGAATGGTATCAAGTAGCATTCTGTCAACACCACGTGATCTTGTATGAGTTGAGATTTCATTTCCGGTTTTTTTAATCTTAATTTGGGAAATAGAGCAATTGTTCTATTAAAATTGTTGGAATATTCGCCGTTTCCCCCTCATTTTGGGAAAATAAAGAACCCTTTTGGCTAGGGGAAGAAGGCTGGTTTTGGCTGTAAAAAATAACTGGTTTCATTTACAGTCTTTCTAAAATAAGAGCAAAACTTGATCAGCGCCTATTGACAGTACGTAGGTGGAGTTCTACATGTCTTACCCACCAAACTGTCAGTCACGTATATGCACGTGCACGATGATTGTATATCATTGCCCTACATGCGTGTGTATATCATGTACACATTCATTACGTTGACACGTACACGTTAGTAATTAGCTATAGGCAGCCTATGTTTACTTGTTTATGTCCCCGGGAGGTTAGCATGTGATAATGCTATTGGTGATACGGTAAACACACACACACACACGCACAAACACACACACACCCTAGTCTGTCCTCTTCCATGACGTATCAGAAGTAATGAGCATTTGTTTGTTATAACGACCCAATCTTCCCTAATTGGTAAATGATGATCAAAACTCGTGTATCCAGGTTTTACTTGTGTTAATGATGTGCATTGTACATAGTGTCGACGCTACCTCACTGACTTCAACTATAGAGAGAAATTCTCTTTAGCGCAATGATTGAGTGCCCGATTAGAAAGTCTGTGGTTACGGGTTCGATCCCAAGCAGACGCACGTACATGTAATACAACTTCCTTCATATAACATTTGTACATGATCGATCAACTACAAGCTATATTTAGTACTAATATTAATACCCGGTCTCCTCTGCTTCGGCCTCTGACGACGCAATATAAAAAAAATCTCTCGTCGTCAGAAAGCTACATTATCGCAGTTAGCTAGATGACAAAATGGTGTGGGATGATCATGTCTAACTTTTATTTCGACGTCATGTGAATGTTTTGAAAAACTTCCATATAATCCTTTACCTTCAAACATCTGTATGTATACTGAGAATGCCAACAATCCGTCCCTCCACGCTCCACTGGTGACGAAAAGTGCAGATAATTGTAATCTTATCTTCCCATAATGGTACACCCGCGTGTCGGAGGGTGTATTGACATTCTTCTGGGTCATGCATCTGATCTCTGTCTGGCTATAACTTACTTACTATACCCTGAATATAAATGATATTCACCTGTCATAATATTTCACCCTTATCAAATTGCGTCCCAGCGCGTAAGACCATATATATATGTATGTATCATCCGTATTAAAATGATGTAGTTAAGGCGTATATGATATTGCATAAACGACCATTTCAGTTTTATGAGATAGTTTATTTGATATAGATACCATGATTTGATAGATAGCAATAGCTTTATAATATACCTGTATTTACCCGACACAATTTGGCCTCATTAACGATATCAACATGTTTTGAATTGTTGTCACAAACTGTTTTTCTTCTTCTCCAATTTAAGTTGATATTGTATGCTGACTAGGATACTTCTACTCAATAATATATATACAATCTCGCGTCCTGTCCATTTTTCACTCTTTGTGTACAATTTTATTATTACTTATCACACTGACAGTAAAGAATCTGTTGTTTTCACGCAGATCTGCAGTAAGGTACTTTATTATATCCAGGTGTGTTCGAGATGCAGGTAAATAAACCGGCTGTATTTTAATTAAAACAGACGAAGATAAGCTCATTTAAATTGAGAATGAATCACACCATTGAGGTTAGACAAAACGCCGAAGGCCAGCACGCGACATAGCATCGTAATCGTCATATATAGAAACTGTGAATAATTATAACCACACTAAATAGCCTCTAACCACAGGTAAACATCCTGCATAAAACTTTATATTTTATAGTCATACGTACATTCAAGCATTTAATATGAGCACCACACATGGACACCGGATTCAACTCGGTATCTATACATTTTACATGCTCCAGGCGTAGTGTGTTTTACTCGAGTATCAGCTGATAAGACACTTCGCATGATTCCTCCTGTCTCTCGAGACATGTGATAGAGTGGTCTAGTATGTGGTTAACACAGCTACACGATTTAATGTCACCACGTCCTCTCCAGGTATCCTCTTCTCGTGAAGCTGTTAAATGGTGTTGCCTGGTGACAGCCTGTAGGTAATGTTCTGAGCGTGGTATCGAACGTTTTGCCTTGATGTTAAAATTAGAAGCAATTGATCGTCATTTCCTAACCTGCTGTAACTAAAATAAGCTTTTACAGAGGTGAAAGTTACCACCACTCAGCACTGTTACAAAATGTTTATTTTATAATAGACATAGTAAGTTTAGCTGGGATAAGGCAAGGTGCCGCGTTCTCTCTTTTCCTTTTTGCGGATATTTTACTGAGGTATGACTAAAGGTGCTCCTCTATACTGTATCGTTTTATGAGAAAATACAAAATTGCCTCGCATTATGCAAGGGGCCCCAGTATGCCTTATTTTATTACATATTCTTTCTTTGACATGATGCAACAAGCGTTCATGGCGTTATGTACTTCCGTGTTTCTAATATTTATCTTTTCATTGAGTATAAGATTATTCTATGTTTCCATCAGTTTTCTTTGAAGTATGGGACACAGAAGCAGTCATTTCACCTCATCTATTTCTGTACCGATGACTTGTTTCTTTGATGCTTTTGGGTGGTGTCAACTGAACGTCATCAATTTTGTGAGCGAAATCAAAATATTTCCAAGAAATACATGCTCCGATGATCTTGTCATGTTGACGCGATGCTGAGCTTGTCGTATACTGACTAGACTACACACAGCTCTTAAGATCGTCATAACATAGATATAAATATATGATAATTAATTCCTTGCACGCGATTTCGTATAATGCCGTAAATCCCGCATAAAATGATAGCATTTATAACCATTCAAATTCACTTCACTCTTTGTCGGGTCGATTGAATGTATAAACGAGAATGTGCCAAATTGTAAAAAAAATGTAAGCGGTCCACGACCGATCAAGTGAATTGAATGACTCTTGAATTTCACCCGATATACTCTCCTCCTGACGGTTGGAAGAGGCGACTAAGTTATATACATACTTATTTGACGTTTCGATGACTAGTACGATATGTACCCTGTTACCTTCATGAGACAAGATTTATGTCTGATGTAGATGACAACGCGAAATTATTTGTCTGATGAAGGTGATATCTACTAGTCATCGGAACGTCACGCATAAACATTTTACTGGTTGTGCTATATAAATCTGTATACAATCTATGCTTACCAACCCGAAGAAAATGGTTAGACATGTAATCTATATTGCCGCCATAGAGTAAAGATATGTGAACTCTTACTAACAAACTTATATTATTGGTAAGTAATAGTGTCAACATGTATATAGAGACAGTATAATCACTATAATGGTGTATAGTGCTATCGTAAAGGAGACTATGGTCTGATTGAGTATTGTCTGGTTAATGGTGATCATCCTATAGCTTGCTGACGGGTTATGGATGTACAGATCAATCAATCGACATAAATAGGTTTTATAGTCTTACTATGTACATGTCTGTTTATATCAATCTGTATATATCCTTATCTATACGTATGTCACGGTAATTAATCAGTATGCAGGACGACAAGACAGGACTACCAGAACGCCGGTGTTAGCATGCAAACGATCGTTATTGTGGAGTACAAAAAACGACCAGATGTCGACTCAATAAAATCATCCGTTAGGAATATTTTCATGTATGATAATGTTAAGGCTATCATTTCTACTTAAATATATCATTAGCTTGATACTTTTTGATACACCGGGGTCATGTGCAGGCCACGTGACGCTGACGAAGGACATTGTTAGCCTAGCCTGGCTACCAGTCCGTGCACACTACTCCCCCGACACGTGGTAAAAATAGCCCATCAACTTTATATGACCGTTCAACATGGCGCCTTTCATATGTTCATGTTGCTTCTCATTTTGTTTAGGTGTTTGTATTTTCGTTCTGTGAATAT